AGTCGTGCCGGCGCCAAGCCATGGCAAGACCACCGCAATGCTACCGGACATGCCGGACATCCCTATGGCACAGGATCCAAACATGCATATGGCACAGGATCTGGACGACGACGACAACAATGACGGCCGTACATTTAGGAACGTCGATAAGTACTTTGCCGAACGTGGGTACTTTGACAAATTCTCCGGGCCTCTTTCTCAAGAACCCAACCCTACAAGAGACGATCGCGGTCTAGCTAGTACAGCGGAGAAACCCAATTGCAACAGGCGTCGTCTGGTGTTCAGTTCTCAGGAGACGCCTATAGCTGCCGACTTCACCAAGCCTCATATAGCCGAGGTGCCAAATATTATCAGCCCCAACACACTCAAGAAGGCGGTCTGTGAGCAGAACTCGGTCCCATTACAACAGAAGAAGAAGGGATGGAAAATAAAGAGTAACAAGGGTGCGAGCCAGCCGGCACCGAGTAAAATCCATGCTCAGGACGGACCACCTTCACCTAAGGATATCTCGAGGAGGGTCATGTGGCAGGTAGGGCGATGCTACCGACAAATATGCTCAATGCTGCAACCGGTGCTATGCGGAGTCTGCATGACAGTGTTCTTTCTTTGGAGAAGCGCCATCTCAGAGAGAATGATGTGACATGCCCGGTTTTCATGGCCAAGGTGCCAGAGGGCAAGGGCTTTGTGGATGGCACCATCGGGGGTACGATCGTCCTGCGGTTTGATGACATCTTTGCTATGTTTAACCTTCATCCGCTGCACTACACCTTCGTTCGGCTGTTTTCGCTGAGTATGGAGATGCGGATCATTAGAGACAAGACCCCGGACATCGTGATAGTCGACCCCTTCTACATGCGTGCCAAGAACTTGTGCAGCGCTGGGGACCGGCATGTCGCGAGTTCTTACCTCGAAGGCGTCATTCTGGCAAACCCATATAAGGATAACTTCCTCGTGCCTTACTTTCCCGAGTAAGTCATTCCCTAACCACCCCGTAACATATGATTTCTTAGATTTCGATCGTTCTTTTTTTTTCTAACATTCCGTGTTCTGTGCAGTGACACACATTGCACACTCATCCTCTTAAGCCCGAAATATTCCATGGCCACGTATTTCGACCCGGACCGTGACTCCAAGATAGACTACACAAATATCAAGAAAGTTCTTGATGATGTTCTCCCCGGCTACGCCAAATCTGGAGGCACCTTCACCAAGCCAGTTCGTAGGCAGTACGGCGCGCACGTGTTCGCCCACAATACAAAGTTCTCCTGCGTCAAGCAGCCGCCTGGTGGTCAGAAGGATGCCTACTACGCCCTCCATCACATGCGGGCGATCGTATAGGACCATCATCACCTTCTGCTACCAGATAATCTCAAAGATTGGGCCGCAAGCTTGTCGGCAATCCAGGACGCGGACATCAGACAAGAATTCTTTCGCATCCAGTCAGAGTTTGCGGAAATTATCCATCAAGATGTCCTTCGTACCTCGGGGCAGTTCTATCTCAGATATAAACCGTCCAACAGTGAGATAGACACAACGCTACAAATGCAGGCTGACAACGCCCGCGATTTCATGACCATCACGACATACGGTAGCTTCATCCACGCTCCGGTCCCATGAGTCGAGTCGAAAGTAGTGATGCTATGTGTAGTTCTGAAACATTGATTGGCTCATGTTGTAATTAAACTTTAATGAACTTGTATGTTGGTTTGGACAGTCCTTCAACTTAGATGCAGTCGATGCTATTTATTAGTAGGACCATGAATCGTGCTATTAATGTCTTGCTTTTGAAAAAAGTTCATTTTACTACCCTGAATAAAGTGTGTGGTTCACTTTACCCCCTGATCAATATTTCTGCTCCCTTCACCCCCTGAACAAACCCATACCGGTTAAAAGAGACCCCTGGGTGGTTTCTCTCGACTTCCTGCTGACGTGGCACTAGTCAACGGCGGTTTTGACCCATAATCGTCCAAAATGCCCCCTGGACATTTGCTCATGTGTCCCTGGACACTGTCCAGCCGACCACAGTGCCCTCAGATCCCCCGAGCTCCCTCCTCCTCACGCCGGTGGCTCCCTGCTGCAGCCGGCGAGTGCCCGCATCAGCAGCAGCAGCTCCAGTCGCGCCGCCCCTCTTCATCCCTGCCCTCTCTCTTCTTCTCTCTCTCTCTTTCCTTCCCTCACGTCTTTCTCTCCTCTCTTCTCGCAGGAGCACCAGGAGCCGCCATGGAGCTCCGTCCGCTGCCGCCAGCGCCGATTCCGGTGAGAACCGGCCTTCCTCGCCCGGATCCGGATGCTCCCCATCTCCTCCTCGCCGGCGGAAGCCGCGCCCGCCAGCCTCCCCAAACCGCAGCGCCCGAGCTGCACTGCGCCGCCAGGAGGACGACGCTCGCTCCAGCGCCAAGTCCCACGTCGCCCTGCCAGATCCGCTGGACCGACGCCCCCGCAAGGCCCAGCCCAGCGCCTCCTGCCCCGCACAGTCGGGGGTGAGAAGTGGTGCAAAGCTCTGGTCCGCTGCTTCACCGCTCCTGCTCCAACTAGGAGCTCGCCGCCGGCCACCTCCGGGCCTCCTACAGCACCTCACCACCGTCCAGCGACCCCACCATCGGCCTCCATCTCCGGTCCGTGCCCATAGCTGCTGCTCCGGTCAGCCGCGCCACCACAACCACCTACAGCGCCGCCGGGAGACATTGATGGGTCACCTGACGAGTGGGCCCCACTGGTCAAATACCGCCATTGACTACTTCCACATCAGCAGCGGGTCGAGACAAACCAGTCAGGGGGGTGTTTTTTCCGGTTTGGGTTTGTTTGGGGGCTAGAAGACGCAGAAATATTGATCGGGGGGTAAAGTGAACCACCCACTTTATTCAGGGTAGTAAAATGGACTTTTTTCCTTGCTTTTCTCTCCGATCCTTTTGTTGCATACTTATATATTGCTTATGTATTGTCTGTTGTTTGGCTTGTGCATAAAGATGCCGTCGTATGTCGTGTACAAGGGTAAGGTTCCCGGAGTCTACGACGACTGGGAGGAGTGTCGGAGACAGGTTCACTATTTCAGCGATAAGAGTTACAAAGGATACACCACTAGGGCGGAGGCGGAATCTAGATACGCCCGCTATCTAGCGGGAGAGAGGAGGGAGCGTTGGAGGAACCGGATGAAGACCAGTTTCATCACGATGATGCTCATCGTGATAACCGCAACTCTCTTCTATGTGATGGTAGTTTAGATGATCGATATCGACTTGTAATGTGAAGACAAACTCGCTACTCGCGGTCTCGAGACTTGTAATGTTCTATCTTTGTTCGGTCTTTTGAATTCGGAGACTAATATGATGAATTGTATTCGGAGACTAATCTTCTATTGTATTTGATGAATTTGCTGTTGCTGTGTGGTGTTGTCTGAATTCTATCCAATAATATATTTTATAACCTGTGAAAATATCAGAAAAGAAAAAAAAATAATCCCTAGTATTCATACTAGTGGCGCACCACACAAGACACTAATGGCGCACTATGATAAACACATTAATGGCGCATCACCCACTGATGCGCCATTAGTATGCCAAAGCACATGGGTACATATGCCCCCCTGGGAGGCATTCTAATGGCCACTGTGGCCTATACTAATGGCGCACTACGTGGTGCGCCATTAGAACACCAGATACTAATGACGCACCAGTGATGCGTCATTAGAATTTAATTCTAATGGCGTGATGCTAGTGGTGCACCAGTAGTGCGCCATTAATTGACAAAACTGGTGCGCCACTAGCATGCCTTTTCCTAGTAGTGTTTTACAAGAAACAACTCAATCACCATAAACAAATTGGTAGTATGAACCACCGAACCCCCTAAGCGTCCACCACGGTAGCATTGAAATACAACCAATGTTGACCATAGCTATATTCACTTCACTTCACTCGCATCTAGTTGCCATTTTTTGTTCATGGTGATGTCATGGAAATGGAAGACATTGTTTTTATTCGTTGTTTTTCTAAAAAAGAGTGTAACCAAACAATCACAAAAGGGTAAGTGCATCGATTCAGACTTAATACTTTGCAAACCATTTCAATGCTATATAATAGTTTTACCGAACTCACATTAAAACGCCAGGAGCGTGTCTCTTTGACCAATATTTAGCCCTAACCGAGCCGATTATAAATTCTTTTATTTGACATGAAACACCATGCATTCCATTAACTAGTGGGTTCGTCAATACTACCGGCCACAACACCACTTACATCTTGGGGTAGACCAGTAAGCCAAATATGTTGGTTGTCGATCACAGCCCTCAAACCATGACCGGCTAGTAGATGAGCAGGGATATTACAAAGACGAGAACAATCATCAATCTTATAATCTATGTCACTGGCGGAGCTATGTACATCCCCGCAGGTGCCGTGGCCCCCCCAACCTGGGCAAATTTACTAAAGAAATTGTTTATAGGGATTTTTAGATTGGAAAATATAGAGATTTTGCCCTCCCTAGAAGTTGTATTTTCTCTTTGGCCCCCCCAATCCTCCTGGTCTAGCTCCGCCACTGATCTATGTAGTCCATTTATAGCTTGAACTTAGCTTCAGGAAGGGGATGCCGAGATGTGCACGGTCCCAGGTTACTGACCCCAATGCAAGCTTGAGCGAGAGGCGGTTCGTGATGACAATAACTCGGTCCATACTAAACTCTTGAACAAGCCTGATAGCATTTATCATGGGCAAAGTTTTTTTTTACCCGGGTTGTAAGTTTTTAAACAGGATTGAAAGTTTTCTACTGTAGAAAAGAAAAAGGACCACCTCAGAAAAAAACAACAAAGGACTATCAAGGTCAGGCCAAAACCCACGGGCCGCCCAAACGCCCTGCCGCGCAGCCCGGCCCTGTGATTATAAACCAGACCTACGCTCCCGTTCCGCATTGCGTGCGCCCCTCGCAGTCGAACGGCCTCGCCACCCCCGCTCCTCTCCTCTCCTCTCCTCTCGCCCACACCCGCCACCGCCACCGCCGAAGAAGCTCCCATGGCGGGCGGAGCGGGGAAGGACGACGAGCCCGAGCCGCCGCGGGAGCCGGACGCGGCGGGCGAGGGAACCGGCTCCGATCACCCCGCTCCGGCGTCACCGGGCGCTTCCAAGGAGGAAGAGGGCGCCAGCGGAGCAGTCGAGGCGGGGCAGGACGACGCGCCCGAGCCGGAGGACGACCAGGAGGAGGGCGGGGACGCCACGGAGGACAACGTGGACGAGGACGAGGAGGAGGAAGGGGACGAGGAGGAGGAAGGGGACGAGGACGAGGAGGACGCCCCGACGCCGTTCGAGCCCTCGGAGGAAGAGGTACGCGGCCTCGCCTCGCCTCCCACCCATCTCCCCGACTCGCGTTCCCTTCCCTCTGCGGCGCGACGATGGTTTTCGCGTCGCTCGCGTGGTTTCCATTTCCTTCGCTCTCGCGAGCATTCCGTCGAGCGGTTGGTGCGCGCTTCGAGGGCGACCGCTGTTGTTAGAATAACCAAGCGATCCCGCGCCTCAGGGTGAGCGAGGACAGCCCGCGGGGCACGTTGTGCTCGATGCTGTTTGAATCCTCCTCCATCCATGGGACAGAGGGTGAATTCCTGGGATTGCTATTGTGATTTGTGGGCCATGCAATTTGCATTTACGGCTGAGAACTGCCACTATGTTTCCACGCCCAAATCTGTTATTACAACTGGGGTTTAATTGCAACGCTTGTAGAGCAATTGTTTCTGTGAATTTACAGCTGAGTACTGTGAATATGGCACCCGAATGTACTCCCTACATAGTTATTGCAACTGCTTATCGTGAACATGAAACTTTAATGTAGTACATAGTTTTCGCAATTGGTGCTTAGTTACCCTGTTTAGTTGCTTTGTCATCAATATTATTATTTAGATGCCTTGTCAGGAAGACGTAAACAGTTGCCAAACATGCTCCCTTGGAATTATGGTAATATCGTGTTGTCTTAATGTTCAATCCTCTGGTTGTAATTATCTGCAGTCACTTGAGGAGACAACTACAGTTGATCCAAGCTATACTATCTCTCTTATAAGGCAACTAATACCTAAGGGATCCAGTTTGGAGGAAGAGTTCAGGTGAGTGGTACTTCCAGATTCCCCCCCATAAAGTTGGTTTAGCAATGAATGCTGTTATCAAAACGACCTGGTTGTCCTAATAATGTCTACCTCATGCAAAAAGTGACAAGCAAAGGGTCAATTCTGATGACAGGGATTCATCGCAACCGGATAACACGGATCCTTCTGAGGAAAGTGACAAGCAGGGTCTTCCAGAAGAAAGGAGTGTCAGTCCTGACGATCAGTGGGAAGAGTGTGGTTGTATTCTGCGGGATCTTGCGGCTAGTACACCTCAAGCAGAACTTATGGTATTTATCTGCATCATTCTCCTGTATAAGGATGTCTTTCTTCTATAGGTTTGCCATAAACAGAAGGTGGACCGTTCTGCTATATGAAACTTGTTTATTGCTGCTCAATTTTTTACTGAACAAGATACTAGCAAGCAGGAAGTGTGAGAGATTTTGATTGCCTTATCTGCACTGGCTTTTGACATTGTTTGGAAGTCCTGTATTTTAATGCGATGTGGCTGGCTTGTTAGATCAATTAGGAGTAGTTAAGCAAAAAATTAAGGTGGATAACTGTAATTGTTTCATTCTTCTAGTTTTGTATCTCCTTTGTGCTTATATTTTATCTTCATGGCCCTGAATTTTAGTTCTGTATCGGTTTATTGTAGCAAATTCTTTATTATAATTTGTGAACCATATAAATTATTGCTGGTGATAGCTACTTGTAGTGTGAATGCTTATGTCATAATAACATGCTAATTCTAACAAACATTTTAAATGGAAGAATGGCTAGGTTGCAGTAAGTCAAAAGTATTTCTCCTAAATCCTAATTGATCTAAGAGCAAATCAAGTGTTCAAAGAAACTACAAAAGGAAATTAAGGCATAATAAACAGAATTATCCACCTTCCTTTATACCTTAGTAATTGTGCATCTTCTGCTGCTAACAACACATTATATTTAACCTTGTAGATTAATAACCTTGTGATTGAAGTGCTTTTGGAAAACCTTCATACGGCAAAGTCTTATAGGGTGAAGGTGAAATGAAATTTTCCTCTACTGCTACCTCCTCTCTTTTTGCTAAGCATGTATTAAAGTATCTTGTTTCTTTGAATCTTTTGTTCCTGCAGGAAATTTGTCTTGGAATCATGGGAAACTTAGTCTGTCATGAATCTCTAGTTGCTGCAATCTCTTTGAAAAATGGTTTAATTGCAACTGTCATGGAGCAATTGTTTCTTGATCATGTCAAATGCCTTTCTGAAACATTCAGGTTGGGTATCTTTGGGATTAAGTTTTTTTTTTTTTTTTGCCGGACTCAGTTATTATTTAGAACCAAATTTTTTATTATTTATTTGTCAGCCATTTGACAAGCTGTTTACTATTCCTAGCATTGCAAGGTATTTCATCCCGTGAAATTTAAGTCGTATATCATGTGGAATAGATCTTCGTAGTTTAGCTCAGCGCACAGACGATTACGAGGTTGATATACTATTTATGTTCTTGAATTTGTGCATTTTGTATTGGCCAGATACCCATTCAATTTTACCACATAACTATGCAAAACTACACATCCTTAAATCACATGTTACATGCATACCTGCATTTGAACATACCCAATCAATCACAAGTTGTTGAAGTTGTGGATGAAAATGCTTGAACATACAGCACTTATGCAAAAATATAACCATTTTCAACTGTGTTAGTCGATTATGTACTTATGTTACTAATCATTTGGGGATAGGAGCTAAGTAAATTTAGATTTTTTTTTTCTTCATAATTTAATTTTCTATTGTCCATGTTCAAAACTTGGAGAAGCTGCTTTCTAATTGTTCTGAGTTGTAGACAATGAGAACTGAGAAGTTCCATCTATGCTCTGTTCTTTTTTGCTTATTTTGATCTGTGTTGCTGCCTGTAAAAAAAATTCTTACACCCCGAGATAGTTGGAATGAGTATTGCTGCGAAATTTTATCAGTAGTGCATCCTCACACAGTTTTTCTTAGACAGGTTGTTGGCTGCCATTCTTCGGTCCAGTGCATATGTTTCTTGGGCTCAAGCTCTTTTACCTGATGAGATTCTTTCACGTATTCTACGGGTAGTTGGGAAGACAGATAATTCTACATTAATTGAAAAGGTATTGTACTGAATTCGTATATGCAACTTGGTGTGACTGCGTATTGTACTGAATTCGTATATGCAACTTGTTGTGACTAATCCGTAGAGTTGGTCCTCACAACTTTACTGAGTTCCGTTCTTTTTAAATTGAATTTTGACATATATGGACACAGTATATTTCTTTTGTAGGACTTGTGTAACATAAATTGTTTGAATCATCTTAGCTCATTCTTCTATACGTGATGGTTAGGCATGTGTGTTTGCCTGCTCAACTCTTTTATCAGTTCACCATATCCTGAGGTAGTTTCAAGAAGGTCGTCATCGAATAGTTTCTATGGACTGTTTCATCTTCCCAAACACTTCTTAGTTGTATGGTCCAGTCTTACTCATTGCTACTATATCCATGTTATCCGAACAATTTAGAATTATCCTTGGTCAGAATGAGGTCCTGTTTTTTTCCATGTCAATTGCTTGGTTCTCGTCTGTGAAAATTCTTCTCTTAGGAGAATATCTGAATTTTTTTGACTGCATTTTGGTAATAGTTGATACTCTTGAGAAACATGTGACTGCAAATTGCAATTTTATCAAACTTTTAGCTGCAGAGGTCTTATGGTCTTTGAACTAGCATCTATTTGCTTATCGTTCTACAATTACTTTGATAGCAGTGAAAGCCTTTATTTTCCTACAATTATACTGTAAAACTAATATTGCCTATTGTTATGTGTTGTATGATTCGGTTGAAATTGTCAGCCCAGCCGAACTATCACAACTACTTTCATCTTATTATACTATGGTTCAACTGAAAAATTTCCATCATTTATATTTGCATGTGTTCAACTGTCTGGTTATTTCTTACGTGAATTACTGGTTGCAGATCATTGACTTCCTATCAACTGTCATTGATAATCGAGATGTGATTGCTATGCTTATCCAGCCGTTGCTTAAACTGGGTTTAGTTGACCGTGTTATTGGGTTACTAACAAATGAGATTGAAAGATCACCGGATGAGAAGCTAGACAGGTATGTTGAACTAACTTCAAATTCGGCAAGATTTTCATTTTATAAAAGTTATCTGTTACAGATTTTGAACTATTATTGTTCAAGGTATCATGGAAGCTTCTCCTATGCACTCCCTCCATTCCAAAATGCAAGGTGTATTAATTTTGAGAAAAGTCAAGCTTATCTAGGTTTGGTCAAATAGAAAAGCGTTTGACCTTTTGAAAAACTAATACACTTTACATTTTAGATTGGAGGGAGTATTTGGTAAATTTTCTGTAGTTTTAGGAGAAATCATAGGTAAAACACCTAAGGGCCTGTTTGGATATCTGGTATTTCTCTGGAGATCTATGGCATTCAGTTCGATTATGGGCTGAATGCTGAAGCTCCCAAAACAGTTGTGTAAGGAATCCTCAAGGATTTGAATCCTCCATAGTCCCGTTTAAAGTCATTGTTTCAAAGAGATCCTTAAAGCTTCATAGAATATTTTCTATATTTCATGTCTTCTGGGCAAAGTTTAGGTCCTTAAACTGTCTTCTGAGATGCGGTCATTTGTTGTTTTCCAATAATATGGTCTGAGCATTTTAAATTTCTTACATTCCGCCTTCCTAGTTTTTATTTAATAGATCTGTAGCTGCATTTCTCAGTCACTGCGATAACCCTTCTTAGTTTTTGAATTTTGAATTAACAACCTGGGACAGTAATGGATTTACCTTACCTTTTTCTTAACACGTTTCAGATTGGAATCTTTTCATTTGATCCTTCACTTCATGGAAGAATTATCAGCCATACACTGTGTTTCAAAGGCAATGGCATCGAATGACCGGCTGATTAAAGTGCTAGTTAACATGATCAAGTCGCCTGATAAAGTTGCGGTGAGCATGTTGCCACCACTACCATTTCATATATTTGCTCATCAGCCCGGTCGAATTCTGATTCATACATTTTGGAAGAAATGCATTATGTTGTTGCCTCCTTGGTACCGAATTGTTAGCTTGACCAACTCATAACTCTTAACAAGCAAGCTGTTCCGATTTTTTTATTGTCAGTAAGTCATGAAATTTTTTTCCAAAAATTTGAAGAAACATTCCTTGCCTCTTCCACATTTGGCAAACTTCACCTTGCATTAATTCTTGTGAGTCCCCACCCTACAACCTCAATGGTGACCTAGGATGTTTCACTTGAAAGATCTGTAGATTCAGATGTAGGAATACAAGTCAAGCATGGTAATTGTATTCTTATTCACAAACTCTTCTTCAGGTTGCAAGCTATTGCGCTTCGGTGGTGATCGTAATGTCAAATATTTTGACTGATGGCAAGCATTTGGTGCCTAGGATATCCCATGGTAGGCACATTTTTTCTTAGCACTTATCGTATTTTCTAAGCAACTATCATATTTGCTAAGCAGTGCACTGCATGACTTGAAATCAGTGTTTCCATTTGGTGCCATTACAGTCATCCAGTCTTTCAATTGTTTCAGATTTACGGTTCCTGGAGAGCCTACTTGAAGTTCTTCCAGAGGTCCCTGATGATGACCAAACTCGATATGCACTTTGGAGTATCTTATCGTGTATTCTGGCACAAGTGCAAGAAACTGGGTTGAACTCCTCGTCCCTCGATCGGTTTGTGTCTCTGTTCTCACGCAAGTTCGGCCTCATCAAAGATGACCTTGAGAGTCAGGTGGTTGATGAAGAGAATTTAACACCTGAGGATGCTCTCCTGAAGGGATGGATATCGAGATGTGTATCCTTCAAAACAATATATACAAGTTGTCCTTCATGGAAGTCTAGATCTTAAGATACATTTACAAACTAACATGATGGGATACATCTCGGCAGCAGCAATCGCATTGTTTTTCCTATGCTACAAAATATCTGTAACAGCTCATGGCAATCTCCTTCTTCATTGAGAGATGGATCGAGCAGAAGTCCTCCCAGGGCAACGAAGACGCCATCAACAATGCTCGGAAGGTGCTGAGCTACTGCCAAAAGGCGCTCCGCTAACCAGAAACCCCACTCCACTGACAAGCTTGCTGCGTTTTGTAATCAACGGTGCTGACCTGAGAGAGAATGCGGCATGTGGCCGCTGTGATTTTGGAACCGGGAGTCGGTTATAACCTACTGTCCTTTCAGACTACTGCAACCTGTAAAGAAAATCGGCGAATGGAGATTAACTAGGGGCATGGGTGGGGATATACGAGTTTTGGGCATGGGTGGTG